CCTGTAGAAGATTTGCTTTTTACCCTCATCTGCCAGAGATCCACCAGCTGATCTTATGGTAGAATTGAAGGCTGTTTGGGGACTACTGAGTGCCACACAAGTGCTGTCACTCAGAACTTTGGCCCTGGACAAAAGGGGAAAGAGGGAGATAAAGAATGAGAGGGAGTAGTGGCAGCTGGTGCTGTTTTTCTGATGCCTTGTGTCTTTAGGGCTTTCTGATCATGGCCAGGAAGCTGCCCCCCTGAGACTCCTAAGGGAAAGGGAAAGCAGGTTATCATACAGAGAACACAGAATTTAGAAATGGAAGACCTGGAGTCATTTCCCAGTCTTATCACTTTTTTGTTTGTTTTTGAGACAGAGCCTCACTCTGTCACCTAGGCTGGAGTGCAGTGGCAAAATCACAGCTCACTGCAGCCTCGACCTCCTGGCTCGAGTGATCCTCTTAACTCAGCCTCCCAAATAGCTGGGGCTACAGGTGTGTGACACCATGCCTGGTTAATTTTTGTACTTTTTGTAGAGACAAAGTTTCACCATGTTGCCCAGGCTGATCTCAAACTTCTAGGCTTAAGCGATTCACCTGCCCCAGCCCCAGGAAGTGCTAGGATTACAGGTGTGAGCCACTGCAACCTGCCCCATGTCCCAGTCTTATAATTCATCAACAAAGTTATCTTGTACCAGGCAACCCCCAACCACATTTACCTCTCTGAGCCCTATTTCCTCATTGATGGTGGGACTGATGGTGGTAATAGCCCAGATGAGTAAGAAAATGCTTTGTAAACTGCAAACCTCGTTAGAGATAATCACAGATAGCTGTGTTAATGTTTTATGGTTATTTCTGTTACGAGCAGGGCTTTTTTTTTCCCCTCCAGGTGGAAATGGGCAGGTTTAGATTTAGAGTTTGCATTTTCAGATTCTCTGGCAAGTGGAGATAAGTCTCTGGAAAAAGATTGGCCAGAAGTGGTGGCTCACACCTGTAATCCCAGCACTTTGGGAGACTGAGGTGGACTGATCACCTGAGGTCAGGAGTTCGAGACCAGCCTGGCCAACATGGTGAACCCCTGCCTCTACTAAAAATACAGAAATTAGCCAAATGTAGTGGCAGGTTTCTGTAATCCCAGCTACTTGGGAGGCTAAGGCAGGAGAATCACTTGAACCCGGGAGGCAGAGGTTGCAGTGAGCCAAGATCATGTCATTGCACTCCAGCCTGGGCGACAGAGCGACACTCCATCTCAAAAGAAAAAAGAAAAAGCTGGGTATAAATAAAGCCTAACCATTGAATGTGGTGCAAGGATTTTTAAAACAGGTGTTAAGAAGGCCTGTTTCTGCTTCTTGTCCTTATCTTAGATGCTCAGCCTTAACTCTGCTTTTTTGGGAAGACTAGTCTGCTGTTTGCCAAATGAGGTCATAGAATTCCACGGGCTTGCCTGGGACCAGGAGGAGGGAATTCAGAGGCTGGCTATGGTTGGGAAGGGTGACAGTATGGTGAGGCGGTGCATAGTTGCAGGACTAAGGAACAATCTGGCCTCATGGCTGGCTTCACATTTGGCTTGTTAGGGTTTTCAGGTTGCTCTAACCCTCAGTGCCCAGGTTATCCCAGACACCTGGACATTGGAGATTCTGACCAGGCATTAGGATGGTGTAAAAAAACTTTGTAGGCCTAGAGAGTTTTTCTTTGATAACCTTTGTGGTATACTGATTTAGACAGTAATCTCTAGGGAGATTTAGTCCTCAATTTGGAGATGGGGCTAATATTTTAACAATACCAAACTGAGATGATCTATTGATTATGAAAGCATTTTAACTGTCTATACTAGGAACCTTAAAAAATGACCATGCCCTTTGATTCAGTAATTTTACCTTTGAGACTTTAACCCAAGGAAAAATTTGAATTGCAAAATTCAAATTACATTGAAGGAGATATAGATTATAATAGTGGGGGGAGGCACCTAAAATATCTAGCATTAGAAGAGTTTAAATCTTTCTAGAATGTAAATACCATGGGATAAGGACTTTTTGTTCACCTTTTATCTCCAGTACCTAAAGGAGTGCCCAGCACGTGGGTGCCCAGTAGGCAACTTTTTGAGTGGTTGTATGTAAAAAAAATTACATTTGGCCAGACATAATCCTAATGCTTTGGGAAGCAAGCCTGGTGGGCTGAGGGTTGAGATGAGCCTATGCAACATAGTGAGATCTCATCTCTGCAAAAAAACTCAAAACTTAGCTGGGCATGGTGGCACGTACCGGTAGTCCCAGCCACTTGGGAGGCTGAGGTGGGAGGATTGCTTGAGCCCAGGAGTTTGAGCCTGCAGTAAGCCACGATCACCCCCCACTGTACTCTTCCTGGGCAACAGAGCAGGACCCTGTCAAAAAATTTTTTGTTTACATTCGTATGATAAGACTATTATTCAGCTATTTCGAATAAAGAAGTCTTAATGACATAGGACTTTTTCTATGTGAATAGGAAGTGAAAAAGCAGGACATAGAATTTTGTATACAGTAAAATCACTCTCAGTAGCCTGAAGTGATTCTTTTAAGTAGAAGAAAATTAAAAACTTGGAAGGTGAAAATACCCAGGTATATCTCCACATAGAGAGGTCATGGGTGACTTTTTACTTTTTACATTTTAAAAAATGTCTACAGGCCAGGCACATTGGCTCACACCTGTAATCTCAGCACTTTGGGAGGCTGAGGTGGGTGGATCACTTGAGGTCAAGGTTTTGAGACCAGCCTGGCCAACATGGGGAAAGCCCGTCTCTACTAAAAATACAAAAATAAGCCTGGCGTGGTGGTGCACACCTGTAATTCCAGCTACTTGGGAGGCTGAAGCAGGAGAATTGCTTGAACCCAGGAGGGGGAAGTTGCTGTGAGCCGAGATTGCATCACTCCAGCCTGGGTAACAGAGTGAGACTCTGTCTTTAAAAAAAAAAAAAAAAAGTCTGCAATGACTATGATCTTAAAAGAAATTTAAAAAAATCATATTTTGTTTTAAAAAGAGGAGGTTTAGTTTAGTTTATTTGTGGAGCAAACCAACAGTCTCTAGAGCCAGCTCCTCCGCCCTTTCAAAGAACCAAGCAGCCTTTGTTGATGCACAAAACACCTACACGCTTTGTTTGTGTCTGTCAGCCTGGTGTGGAAGCTGATCCTTCCTAACTTCAAAAGGGTGATAGAAACTCCACCGTGCTGAAATTGTGCAGGTCGTGTTGCAGAGACATGCCCATACATTTATATCCCATCATTGAAGTGAAGACATTTTGTTGTAGGGAGAAGAATTTTCAGAAGATAGATTTTTCTGGGTGGGTGGTTAATTCTTAGAATTCTTTCACTAGGTTCATGGATTTGGAAGCTGTCGGAAGTGTCATCTGCTTTCCTTCATTCTTGTTTTAGCTCGTACTGTCTTAAAGTGACTTTTTGCTCATCGTCTCAGTTTGCTGGAGTAAGTACTTCATGGAATGTCTCTCCAAGATGCAGTATTCTCTTGGAGCCAAGACTTCCTTAGAAGTCTCCCTGTCTCGTAGGTGGGCTCTGGCACCTGAGCTGGAAATTCTTGGGCTTTTCTTAGTGTGGTGGGTTTCTGACAGACTAAGTGTGTCTCAGGGGAAAGGCCCACATTTCTCCGCCTGTGAGAAACCCTCAATGACCAGGGTCGCCAGACATTGCTGACTGACCTGTCATGTCTGTACTCCTTTCATTCACACGAATTCTCATCCATCATCTCTCTTTCTCTTTAGCCATAACCAGCAGACCACAGCATTCAGGCATCCTGTGACGGGGCAGTTTTCTCCAGAAAACAGTGAATTCATTCTTCAAGAAGAGTAAGTATTTTTATGTATTCTCCTTATCTGGGCAGAGTATGGGATACTAAAGGCATTTGCTGAAGACAAAACTTGCTGGACTGTTTTCTCTGAGACAGAGGGGCTTGGAGTGAGTGAGTTGGTTGATCCAAACAGGAATGTGAGAAGAATTTTATTTTTCAATCTCCAGACTTCTCTCAGTGGCAAGCTGTGGAAGAGGAGAGTTGATACAGGGATGTGCTATGATGGGTACTGTCAGAGCTTCTTTAAAGTTCCGTTTCCCCTGAGTGAACCCTTTCTCCTGATACATCTTCTGGTACATTAGCCCTGTTCGGAGAGGACCCACTCATCTGGGTGGAAATATAGCTGACACACACCTGTATTACCAGATACTTGGGAGACTGAGGTGGGAGGATGGATTTGAGCCCGGGAGTTCAAGGTTAACAAGACCAAATATCTTTTTTTTTTTTGAGGCAGGGTCTTGTTTTGTCATCCAGGCTGGAGTGCAGTGGCACAATCTTGGCTCACTGCAGCCTTGACCTCCCTGGGCTCAAGCAATCCTCCTGCCTCAGCCACCCAAGTCGCTGGGACTACAGGCATGCACCACCACACCCAGCTTATTTTTGTGTTTTTTGTAGTGATGGGGTTTCACCATGTTGCCCAAGTTGGTCTCAAACTCCTGTGCTGAATCAATCCTCCTGCCTCGGCCTCCCAAAGTGCTGGGATTACAGGCGTGAGCCACCACATCCTGCCCTAGACCCCATCTGTTAAAACATGTGTGTGTTGTGGGTGGAGGCAGGGGGTGTCCCCTCAGACTGAGCTGAATCAGGCTCCCAGGGAAGCCTCAAATAAGAGTCCAAAATCCAAAGAGAGGAGAGCTGGTAATCCCCATCATCGCTGAACATTTTGAGTTCTTTCTGTTCTCTTTTCCTAACATGGGAACTTTCCTGTTCCTCAGCTCAGTTTCAGCAGGGCTCTCGGATGCTCAGGTGGGCTCTACCACCCAGGGCTTGTCTACGTAAAAATACATGTACAGCCCAAGCAGGATGTGTTTTCCCAAAAAAGGAAGGCAAGAAATGTGCATCACTCTGCCCCCTTCCATTCATTTGAGACAGTTCTATTTGAAGAAAACATTTATGTTTCGGAAAGTAACAAATAGATGTTAGCTTTAAAGGTTTTTTCCTTCTTCAAATCATTTTTCCTCTGTTTAGTCACGTAGACCAAATATAATCTTAAAATAAACTCTCAGTATTTATATTTTTACAGCATTTCCCTCCCTTAATACCTACACCTTTAAACTTTTTATTATGGAAAAAAATATACAAAAAGAGATATGGTAATAAATTCAATATACTCATTGCTCATTTTCAACAATTTCCAAAACATGGCTAATTTTATTTTATCTATCCCTTCACTCTCATCCCCTAGATTATTTTGAAGCAAATTCCAAACGTGTCATTTCATCTCTATAGTATTTTCAGCTTAGAATCATTATCCCACAGTACGTTTAAAGCTAGAAAGCTATAATTATGGTGAAACTGACATCCTTGCACGTATGCTCTGTGCCGGAGGCTTTACACGCATATCTCATTTAATGGGATCATCCTGAGAGATAGACCATCGCCATTTTAGAGATGAAGAACCTGAGACCCAAGGAAGTGCCCAGGGACACACAGCTAGGACAGCCAAGATGCCATCCCAGGTTAGCCAGGCTTCAATGCCTGTGCTGCCTTTGCGTGGTGTTCTCCTCATTAAGTCCAACTCCTGTCATAGTCAGAGGCCACTTCCTAAGTTATTTTGATGCTGGTGGTCCATAGGAGACGACAGTCAGGGGCTGGAGTTGGGAGTCTGACTTTGGAAGCATTAATACTAATAAAGAGAGTGAGTAAAGATTGTCTTGTCTCCTAGATTGAGAACGAACTGCTGTTTAAAAAGAGCCAGGATGTGGATTCCCCAAATTCCAGCTCAGAATAAATTTGTTTATAGAATCCTGAAGGTCAGAAGCTCTTGGGAAGTCATTGAGTTCAGTCCTCAGGCATCCTGGAGACACGGGTGCCTGTTGTTAAGTCTGGACAGAGAGTCCATCAGAACCTTTAGCTTGGGAACTTACCAACTTCCATAAGAGCTGCTAGAAAATGCAGACGTACCATTACAAAACATTTGTCACACACAATTCCTTCTCCTCTCATTCTTAACAGAAGACTTTATCTACTGACCACTTCTCTTCAAAAGGTAGCCTCTTTCCTACTACCGAAACATCTCTGTAGTTAATTTCAGTTCCATCCAGCTTCCGAGGGGAAGATGCACCTTCTTTTCAAGGCTTACTTTTTCCCCTCTAGATTCCATCTCCTGGATGTCATGGGGGTACATGCTTGTCTCAGGTGGTGTGTGGCACTGATTGGCCAGACTTTCCTTACAACAGGCAGAATATGCTATAGGCATTGAGAAGAAGGGAGGATTCCTGCACTTATTAAATACCTAGTGAGTACCTACACTGTGTCTGGGGCTGTGCTGGACTCTACAGGTACAGCAGCAAGCAACACAGATGTGGTCCTGGTGGTGAGGAGCTTACGGTTGAGTAGGGAAATTGCTTGCTCTTATTGGTGTGAACAGATACATCTCCCCACTATTGGCAGGTAGGACTCACCTGAGATGCTCAGAATAATGTGTGCATGCCCCTCAAAGGATAGTTTCTCATTTTACAGATTAGAGGCATGGAGAAGAGAAGTAATGTGAAAGCTATAATATGATGGTTCCAGGTGACATGAGTCCTGAGTATTCTAATTCCTGCGTCAGTCATACAGAATCAGTCAGAATAGGCTAGGGTCTGCTGTGGTAATAAGAGATCACAAATGTGATAAATGTTCATGATAGAGGAAACATAGAGTTCAATGGGAATTGATAAAGGGGACTCTAACCTAGCTTAGGGACCACAGATGGCCTCCTCATCTGGAAGGGGATGTGGTTTAAATTGAGATCAGTCTAGTCAAGGTGAACAACCTGGGCAAAAACCTAGAGGGGAAGGAGGGTATAGCATGGGGGATCTATACCAGTTGAGTTAAAGTGAAAAATGAGGAGCACTGGATGGATTCTGGAGGTACTTGGGAAGTAAAATGAACAGGATTTGGTGATTGATTGACTGTGATAGGAATGAAAGAGAGGAAAGATATTCTTGAAGCCTCTGGCCCTAAACTGGAGGAAGAGGGAAGATTTAGATAAGAGAAGATAAGTGTGTACACGTGCATGTGTGTAGGTGTCGTTCACAGCTGAGGAGAGTGTGACCAGCCTTGGTGGGGTCAAAGTGCAAGAAAGCTGACTTGCAATGGAGGTTTGTGAAGGGGAGTGTGTAGATAAGGTTAAAAAAGGGGCTGCAACCAATTACCTAAATTGCTTCCTCCTAAATGAAATACACTTAGATTTACCTCCTGGGGAAGCTCTGGAGGGTGAGTGCGGCATGATTTCTTCTCACAGAACCATTTTTTTTTTTAAATTATGCAAATGAATGAGATTCTTATTTTGTTCCCTTAGAGGAGCTTAATTTTGTTGTGTAGTGTGTTATGTTTGAGACTAATGTCTTGGGTGGAAAAAGGAAAACTGGCTCCTTTCTTTTTCTTCTCCAAAGAGAATCCACTAAGGCCAAGCACTGGAGAGCTGTAACCACATTGACTCCTCTTGCCAGAGCCTCCACCCCCCAGTTTCTTGTAGCTAATTCTTCTGGAGCAGCGGTTCTCAAAGTGTGGTCTCTGAATCAGCATCACCTGAGAAGGTGTTAGAACTGCAAATTCTTGGCCCCACCCCAGGCCTAATGAATCAGAGACTCTGGAGGTAGGGCCCAGCAATCTGTGGTTTCACAGGCCTTCCAGGTGATTCTGATGCGGTAAAAGTTTAAGAACCACTGATTTAGGCGACTTGCTCTTTTCATCCCTTCTAAATTACTCCCAAGTTCTTCTCTTCACCTCCAGGTGTCTTCCCACTTCACCCACCAAGTGTCCATCCATTCTCTGGGCTGCAGTGGCAATCTTAGGTGGATTTCAGTCACATAATCTTGAGTTTCTTCTTCTGAGGGAATAAAAGAAAAAAAATTTTAAACCCATCTCCATGGTGACTTCTCCTAGGGCATTATTGGTGTGAACAGATACATCTCCCCACTGATGGCAGGTAGGACTTGCCTGAGCTGCTTGGAATAACCCATGTATGCCCCTCCAAACGATGGTTTCTCATTTTACAGGTTAGAGGCATAAGGAAAAGAAATAATGTGAAAGCTGTGAGCTGTGGGCCAGAGGACATGAGCTCTGAGTGTTGCTGTTCCTGTGTCAGTCATATAGAATCAGGCTAGGTAGGCTAGGGTCTGCTGTAGTAACAACAAACAAAATCTCCATGATTTAAAACAGCAAACGCTGATTTCTCATGTTTGCTTCATGTCCATCATAGGTCACCTGATGGACTCTGCTCTGCCCTCTTGTTTTTTTTGAGACAGAGTTTCAAAAAACTCTGTGGTGTCTGGGTGACCACCACACCCAGCTAATTTTTGTATTTTTAGTAGAGATGGGGTTTCACTGTGTTGCCCAGGTTGGTCTTGAACTTCTAGCCTCAAGCAGTCCATCTGCCTCAGCCTCCCAAAGTGCTGGGATTACAGGCATGAGCCACCCGCCTGGCCTAGAGTGCTAATTTTCTCATTTGACCTTTTCTGTTATGCCACCGGTTTTTTATTATACCCCCTGAGGGGCGTAGGCATCAGTCAATGGGTTCTGTATTCTTGTTCCCCCAGGGGACACTCCTTTACCCACCAAGCCAGCAGGTATGTGAAAATGCCTCATGGGAGAGCTAATACAAGCTCAGGCTGTATTAATAAAATTACAATGCATAGAGAAAAGGGGAGAATAGTTCTGTTATATCATGGTTTTTGTGAACCACTTCATTCATCCATTCAGTACAAATTGATGGAGTACCAAGGGCATGCCAACCTCCAAACACCATGTTCTAGATACTGCATTTTAAGAGAGGTGTTGAGCAATTGATAT